TGGTGCAGTTGCGGGCAAAGCAACTATGTCGGAGAAACTGGCAGACCTCTCAGGACACAAATTGCAGAATACAGGACAGTAATGCGGCGAAATGATGCCCATTCTCAGGCTGCGGCTTATTCGACGAGACCCGGCCACACATTCAGATTTGATGAGGCCGAAATTCTCGCAAGAGGTGACAATCGAGTGAGCCGATAATAATTTGAGTCATGGTTCCCGGGCCCCCAATTCATCAAAAAGTGCGACGATTTGCCCAATCCGCATTCGGTGCCTAAAATAAATTTGGCCAAAGCAAATCGCCGCCCGGGGAACAGACAAGTCACCACATCATCCTATGCCAACACCGCAGGTTCAGATGGTCATTGCTGATGCAATGAATCAATGCACACTCAAGTCATTTGTCGATTTGTTCTGAACGCTTAAAATGTTACGGCAAAACCCTGTGCAGAAACAAGCTGTTTCTGCTACTGTTCTGTGAGTATGCCTCTGCTGATGAATCCGCGCCGGATTTCGACACGTTAGGCGAATAAACATACTTCACATTAACCTTTCTACTTTATGGAACTTCAGTAGATATGTTAACTGAATAAAACAAACCTTCAGCGCCTAGACGAAACAAACCTGTTCCCCCCCCGCTTCACTAGAGTGTCTACCTGCTACCGCTGTTTGTTTTCTAAGGGCATTCTGCGTCGGGACTTCCTGCGACTCTGTCTGGAAACCGCAGCTGTCCTCTGCTGTCGTCTGACGCCCTTCCAAAAGGCAGCCGTGGTCAAACTGGTCGCTGAGGGCATGAAACATGTGACTGGACGCAAGGCCCCCGTCACTGCGGCCGTAGGCGACGGAGGCAATGACGTGGCCATGCTGTTGCAGGCCAATGTTGGCATCGGCATCTATGGGAACGAGGGCAGACAGGCTGTTTGTGCTGCGGATTACGCTGTCCCGCTCTTCAAGTAAGCGCGCCTATTGAACCTCCTTCTTCCAGCCTATGACATACCTCGTGCGAAATTGCGAAATTTGCGAACCATTGAAAGTCAGTAGTAGGCCAGCATTAACGCTAGAACGACAGTTTTTGAATAATAACCAAAAAACTTAAGCGAATTCAAAACTTTAGGGACATATAATAAGAATACGGATCTTTTCTTAAGGTGGATAATTCCGAAGACGTTGAAGGTGCCGTAATTTTGACCCATAAATGAAAACGGAATTTTCAAATGAAATCATGAGCATATAATCTTGTGCATGTATGGAACAGACTTTCATTTCGTCAAATTTGTGATTGCATATTGCTCCTATTTGTTTTTAATTAGTAACAGACTAGTTACTTGAGATTCCGACCAATATTTCAATATGTTTCATTATTTGTTCAGTTTTTTTTCTATACCTTTTTGTCCATACCGTTAAAATAAGATATTTCTTAATACTATTTACAGAGGAAGTGCGTTTTTAATAGTCATGCCTGCCAATATTGTCGCTTGGGTCATATTTGTGGAGTCATCTGAAGATAGACACGAATGAACACCCACAAAAAATCATCTACTCAAATGCCCATGATCAAGTGAAAACCTCCTTATAATAATTTACCTCTTCAAAACGCACCTAAAGGAAATATTCAGCTGACAAATATTCATGGCTTTTACTTTTCTTCATGGTAAAGTCAGAGTTAAGATGAGGACATTTGGCTGGTGTTTTGATTTTCAATAAAAATCGTAATACAAATATTACTGAAATCGAAAGAAATATTTTCGTTTTATTTTTGAACCTTTTTAAATATATTTGATTACTTTGATACTATGATTAAAAAAGTGCAAAAATATGGCCGTATATATATTTATATTTTGCAAAACTTGCTAATATTTTGTCCGTCTTATTTCTTAGTTACGCATGAGCGGAACGTCTCTAAAGAAGTACCTATTCACATGCTTTAAATGTTATATAGGATGTCTTCAAGGTCCACCTTCTTCTTGAAATATTCTCATATTGTTTGGGATCCTACATCTCGGTGTGGTAGAGTAAAATACGGTCAAAAAATTTGATTGTTGCATTTTGCGGCAAAATCTTCAGGAATTGAAAAAACACATTTTTTAAAGCGGAAGTCGTTCTTTGTGTATGGAAAACAATGTGGAGCTTTACACTTGCATTCACCTGACTTTTATCAACGTACAACCGATTTTCATTCATTTTCTGTTGGGTTATCTGGTTTCAGAAGGGATTTGTTTGGAAAATTTCCTGTTTATATTAATCACCTTTTAAATCGCAAAGTACAAAATCAAGGGTTTTAGATTTGTCAGACAAAATAGCATAGAACATTTCTTGTACATCTGGCAGCCTCGGGGTTTTGCCCAAATCCTGCTAATTTTCCTGCGGTATACGACACTGAACTTACAGTTTGCAAGTTCTTCAAGTTTTCAGCAAGGCAAAATACTAAGACTAAAGGCATGTTCAGCTACTCACTAATATTTTGGTAGGCTAGGTCATCTATGTTATAACGGTGGCCAAGAGCTGCGATATTCCCGTCTGACTAACGCCTC